CGAAAACAGCTCAAGAAGGAAAACCAAAGACGAGAAGATCAGTCAGAATACTAAAGAGCTTATGAGAACGAGAAATGAACTAAGAAATAAATATGATGAGAATTATGCGCAACTACAAGAAACTCGATAAATAAATTTCAAAAGCTGTGAAAAACGACGTACGAAGATTTAATTCGGAGAATATAAACAAGATCATACAGGAAAACAAAGGTCTAAAAGTACTCAAGAAAATGAATGAAAGAAATGTCACAAGGCAAGAAGGATAGCTGCAAGCTGAGGGATAAACAAGGCAATGTGAAAACAAACAGAGAAGAAATCCTTTAGATAGTAGATATTTTATGCCGAATTTTATAAAAAAGAAACACACCACAAACAACCTGGCGACAAAATGATTAGTTCTAAACCAAAGGTCGGAAGATATCCCGGAGATCAAAGTAAGCGAAATAAATGGAGCCTTTTCCGAGATGAAAAATAACAAGACCCCAGGAGAGAATACATTAGTTATCGAAGCAATTACAATGGGGGGAAACAAGCTGCTGCAGGCTATAAAAACCCTTTTTAATGCAAGTCTCTCGAAAGGAACTACGCCTTCTGAATGGAATAATGCAGTTATAATATTATTACACAATCAAAGTGGACAAAACGTATAATACAGTGGAGACCACGACTGCACAAGAGAAGTGTTGGTAGACCCCAGAAACGTTGGCTGGATTATGTCAAAGAGAGGGTTGGCAGAGTTTGGCATCAGATAGCACAAGACAACGAAGCATAGAAACTGACAGGGAAGGCCTATGTCCAGGAGTAGAGTACGAAAGGGTGTTGAAAGAAGAAAGAAGACTTAGTATATCAAACTCTAAAAGTTAAAAATTTCAGAAAAACCGAACGAAAGAAAATCGAAAAGAATTGTCAAAATAAAGTTGCGTAGCCTATAATCATAGGAGTATAAAGAAGCTTTAATAAATTCCAGACTTCACACAAAATATCACGCTCAAATCAAAAATTAAAATCGAATAGAACGACTGATTTGCTTATCTTTGGCTGAGAAGGTTGTTTTGTTTATCAATTACTCATTATATATAGAAATGTTTTTCGGGCTTTGAAGCCGTGGTCCATGGGAATTTCTTCCTGACGTTTCGTCCACAACTGCGGTGGACAATATCAATCCGTGCTTTCCGACTAAAACTGGTTCAACTACTGCCGTGACTTGATGTTTAACGCAGACATAGCCATTAAAGGCTTTTTGTCTTTGCTGGTAGCCTGCAAGGGCCTTGGTGGGTGAGGGGTGTGGTTCAACTACTGAATCCCCTGTCGTATTTATGCGGTCCGGCCGTGTGAGCTCATGCCTGAGGAGTGGGCGGCGCCTCAATGGCTTTGGCGCACACGCTGTTTGCCGCAAACCACGTTTCCAAGCTGGATTAAGGGCCGTGACTCCTTCTTTTCTGTTAAAATAGTTGTCATGTTTGAAGATCTCAATGGCCCCTCTGGTTAGTCTCGGGTAATACCGTTGAGATTGGTGCAAAATGTCCACTTCATCGAAACGTATTTGAGTGGCCGTCTCTCTCTCAGTGCGTGCTCCGCTACTGCTGATTTTTCTGTCTGTCCTAAACTGCAACCTCTTTTATACTCAGTGATCCTCGTGTTTACACTACGTTTTGTGGTGCCGATATATGCTCTCCCACAACTGCATGGAACTCTGCAGACTCTTGGTGCCGATAAAGAATCCCGTTTGTCCTTGGCCGATCTCAAAGTCTGTTGGATTGTTCGAGTTGGTTAAAAAACTATGTGTTTTCACTCTGTGTTTCTCCAGTATCCTGTCGATCCAGTCCGTGACTCCATGTACATTGGCACACATACATGTGGAACATTACTATGTGTGATTTGACCGGCCGTGAAAGCCTTCATAGTCTGATAATTACTTGTTATTTTTATTATTATTGGAAATTATCGAAGCGAGTCAAAAAATTGCCGTGTGAACTGGCATTTTCTACGAAATGCTCAACAATTAAAAATTGAAATCAAACAGCAATGTAACCAGTTACTTATCAAAAAGGCAACCAAGCAAATTATTATATCATCATGTTGGTTCTGTGCTGAGTTTCTGTAGTTCCGTGGTTTCGAAATCTGGCAAAAATGTCGATATCTCATGAGTTTCTTACAGGCAATGAATCGGTAGCTGGTCTTTTATGTTGGGTCGCTAAGGTAAGTGCGAGAGTTTATCCTTTTTAGTAGGAAGATCCGAGCTGCAAGATTAAAGTTTTCAATTCGAAACTATTTAAGGATTACTGAGTAGAAAATGGAGSTGAGGCGYCAGCTTGCAGAAATCTGGTAAGAATGATCTCTAATCTATAACAGCTGTAGCTRTCTAAATCAGTTTTATGCATTCTTTACGTCACGCGTATGCGGTTTTACGTCATTCATCGWTTCCTGTTGAATTTACCGTTTATCCTTGTCTATCTTATTGTCAMTTTCTCTATTTATCCATGGTTAACGGAGTTTTGAGTTTTAAATAATTACAAAGCAACAGGTATTTATGTAATGTTAATTAGGCAGATTACCWTGAAAAAAACATTGTCGCCGTTTTTCTAATATATTTTTTTTGCAAATTTCTCAGTTTTTAATAACAATTAATTTTTTTAYTAATTTTTCTGCACTYTTAAAACACCACCAGACAACACCTCCAGAGGAATGACGCCAATTTTGYATCACCCTGTATACCTAATATTTATTATTTGACGGGGAACGACGAGTAAGTTTCTGGATTCCATATTASGTTTTCAAATGTTTTTTTCATWTTTGTAAAACTAATTTACAGTCAGATTTGATTCATTAAATCGACGTTTTCTTTCGTAGACAGACTGTTTTCATATGAAGTTTTACGGTCTAAATGTAAAGTAAATGTCGTTTTCCTGTGAACTACACATTTAATGTTGTGTAAGGTATATTTTGTMAATTTTTGGTGTTTTTCTGTTAACARTTAAACCCTAAACGAAACGGTTCGTGTATTCTCAATAGGAATTGCTCAGATTTACAAATTRGAACTTTTTACGCTCAGTGTTCCAACGTTAAATGTGCAAGTTTGTCATGTAAAATAGGGGYGTTCTGTTSGTACAGATAATACCTATTATTTTTTTACTCCCTAAATAACCCAGCAGCACCTCCAGAAACAGGACTCTGATTTTGGCTCTATCAGGTACTTGGGTACCCACAGACAGGGGCGTGCGGTCCATGGAAGCCAGGAAAGCATTGCTTCCCCTAGAATGCCCTAAACGGCGACCAATCAAAATTTTTGAAAATAGTCTTATTATTATATTTTTACATTTTATAATAAACCGCAACATTCTAACTTAGAGAGTCGAACATCCATAAGAAATTAGGTAAGAGCAAATCTTAGGATAGTAAGCAGTATATGAAGTAAATAAAAGAGGAAAGAAAGATTGTATTGCATGGCGCGCTTAAAGAACTGCAAGAGTATCAAGAAAAGACAATACCATAAGGTTCCATCTTTGACATACCGGTCTAAAGCATAGATATACAGCTTGCAACGTACCGTATCCATCGCAGTCCCTGCTTCGATATGCAATATTTCCGACTGCTTCTCTGTTCCCGTGTAAAATTTTCTGGGTCACATGAAAAAATTATAGAAGTTAAGTTGCGAGCCCTTAAGGCCTGAATAAGCAGTTATGTAGATTAGATACACACTGTGTGCGCATTCAACTCACGTTTGCTTTTGCAGTCCGTGCGAATCCGGAGATATTTTTTTTAATTTGTAACATTGTAGTATCTTTTTCGACTGATTTTTCGAAAAGTCTGGTATAATAGTATATTACATAATAAAAGTTGTAAGAAACTCTATGTGCGAATGGAAAAGATCCGTAATTCCATGAGTACGTAATTGTGTTAAGACCCCATTAACTTACTAAAACTAAAAGACAATTTTGTTATATTTTTGAATAGGAATACGAGTTCTAACAACTATTGAAATGTTGACAGAAGCCAGAATTTCAAAATTTTATTCAAATTTACTAACACCTCGTATGTAATAAAAAATTGTAACGTTACATCTTTATAAAGAAATAGTGTGGGTGTAAACTATCTGGTGCATTTTCCAGAACAGTTTTAATGTTGTTTGCAGACAAAATCTTGGACTTCTTGCTTTTAATACCATCAGACTTTATTTTCAGTACGGTTATTTCTTGTAATAGAATGGCGTCCTAGAGAGCAAGCCTTTAGAAACCGGGAACGACCACCAACCAGATGGACAGATGATGTAAAGCGCATTTGGATAAACTGGATTAATGCTGACCAGGACCAGAAAAAATTTAACTGGTAATTTAATAGGCCTATGATAGTGTGAAAAGAGTTATGATCTGGGAGACGACGGCAGAATTCGGGATACCTCATAAAATAATAAGACTAACCAGAGTTTGTGTAGAAGGGTCCAGATGCAAAGTAAAAATTGGGAGCGATATGTCTAACGTATTTAGGGTAAGTACGGGACTGAAGCAGGGTGACGTGCTGTCCCCTACTATTTTCAATATTGCCCTGGAGAAGGTCGTAAGAGACTCCAAACTCAAAACAAAGCTCTTCCAAACGAATAGTTCACAACTAACACTTGCTTTAACTGCTTGCTTAAAATGTAACATGGGGCATCTAAGATGGGTCTAAGGATCAACGCAGGAAAGACCAGATACATGCACATCTCTAGAACAGCCAGAGGGAATGAATGAAAACAACTTTGAAAATGTCACGCAGTTCAAGTACCTGGGTTCGATCATTACAGCCGATAATGACATCAGCGAGGAAATAAAGTACAGACTTAAAACCGCAAACAACTTATGCCCTTAAGAACGAATTTGGATCCAACGAAATTACTTAAAGATCTAAAATCAAAGTATACAAAACTGTCATCAGACCTATCATCATGTACGGATGCGAATCGTGGACGCTAACGGTACGAAATGAGGAGCTCATCCGAAGATTGGAAAGACGAATACTGACGAAAATATACGGCCCGACAAAGGATCCACAGACGCAGCAGCACAGAAGTAACACGAATGCAGAACTGAGAGAGATATACGACGAACCAGATCTGTGCAACATAATAAAGGCTCAACGGGTTACATTGGCAGGACATGTGCGTAGGCAGCACAAGGATAGGCTAATATGACTGGTATGGCAGAAAGGCCCAGAGGGGAAAAGACCACTTGGAAGACCCAGATTAAGATGGCGAGGCAACATCGCTGCTGATCTGAGAAAATTGGGCGTCGAAAATGGTACGGAGCTTATGACCCACCGAGTTGGATGGAGGCAAGTCGTCGCGCCAGCCAAAGCCCATCAGGGCCTGTCAGGCAGAAGAACTGGGGATTGTTGAGAGAGGCCTTTGTTCAGCAGTGGACGTGGCAGGCTGTTTGATGATGATGAGTTCTAGTTATTTGGAATAAGTTGCAATGCTTATTTTGTGATGAATGTTAATTGTTGTTCGCAACGTAGAAGAGGTCCAAATCGAAGCAGGTTTTCATGTAACATGAAAATTCTAGGAAGAAAGCTAACAATTCATTCTCCAAAAAAAAAACTTCATATTTTTGATAAGATGTTGTTGGTAGCAAGTAGTACGTAGTGGCTTTCTGTTATTTGTATAATATTTGGGATTTTAAAGTTTAACTTCACATTTTATAAAGAGGGTACAACAGAGAGTTGAAGTTCAATTTACTAATTTAACAATATTATTTAACGAATTAAACTGCGTAAAATGTACTGTAGGTAGAGTGTATTGGACTAGCTACCTACTAGAAGTAGTAGTCGTAAGTTAACGATCAATGGCCGAGACTTTGTTTTTTAAAATATTTATTTAAAATTAACAAAGTTGATTGTTAATAAATTTATGCACCAAACTCTTTGATGGTGTTCAGCTGACTGGCCGACTTAAAAGCTACCCTTAAAAATGTAAAGGAAATCCTAGTGACAAAAAATACATCTGGTTAATATCTAATCTAATCTACCAATTATGTATGGTTCACACACTCGAACAAGTAAGTGTTCAGTTCCTGGGAACCAAGGGATGGCACTTCACGTTAAGGGTGTCGTAAATTTGGAGCCATAGACAAATCAAGTGGGGATCCTTAGGCCTGACATAACTCGTAGATAAAGTGTATATAAAAATTGCTTGCCTTCTTTCAAATTTCACCGGACGCCACTGCCCACAAAAGAATAAATCGACTTACCAAATGTCCTGTTTTTGACTTGAACTGTCTAGAACTAAATCAATCCATGACTACTCTATTAGGAATATAGGTAATATAATAAACACTATTTGTGTAAGAACTGAAATTAATGACAATGTTTGTTCTTTAAGCTTCAGACCCTTATTAACAGCACAAGCTTTACTATTTTGAAACTTGCATATTATGCAATGCATCTTTGAAATACCGCGTTTGTTTCGTCTTCGTCAAGTTTCGTCAATTATATTCTATCAACGTTCACATAAGGCCCATTTTTTTGCACCGTGGACGTCATATTGCGTACTAACTGCAAATCGAGCTTTAAACACCGAAAATATCGAAATTTCTCACATTAATTACAAATGCTATTTCTATATATGAAAATATGTTTTATTGGGAGGAACAAGGCAGTGACACAACCCTTTAAGAGAGCGATAAATAAACAGTTGATATTGAATGTAATCAATGTATTTCATAGAATAGACATAGAAATCGAACTGTTAGCTGTTAAATAGAAATAGAACCGGTTACATAGTGCATTCCAGAACGTGTTATTAGAACCTCGTTGAGAATGTTTTTGATTCACTTGAATCGAGTGTATATTTAGTTAAATATTTACCTACCAGAAATAAATATAAACAATAACAAATGAGACTCACCCGGCACTAGTATAGATATTCACTTAACAAATTCGGATCAAATTTCACTTTCTAATAATAAACACTGCACTTTCAAAGAGACTTTTAGTCATCAAATTTGGAAAAATTATTTCAATCAATAATCCCCTGCTGAAACACAAATCCAGGACCGAACTGTCAAACTTCGAACCTTCATCACCTTCATAGGGAACTACACCCAATCCTGATACATTCGTCGGATCTCTAATGGCACTGTTTGAAGTAAATGAAGCGCTGTTGTCGAGACTCCATATCAAGTAAAACGTTAGAAGAATATACAGGATGTTTTAAAAACTGTTAATCGACGATGATTAGTTAATTAATGCCCTATAGATCCGTGATTTGCTAATGAAGCTGTAGTTCTAAGTTTGTCTTATCAAGCCAGAGACAAGTTTTTTGTTTTTCTTATTCCAATCGTAGGAAGTGTGGCTTCGATAGTTACCATTATAAAAATAATTGAGTCACGTTTTTTAGATTGAAAACATMCTGTGCGTTTTCGTTTTTTTGGAAAACGTTATACTTTTTCCATCTTTTTTYCGTACCGTATCTATTGTACTATTTCCAGTATTATTCCAGTGTTTTTCTGTAATCTGTAAAAGTAYGTCTTTTTGATGTTGAATAAACATAATTTTCACATTTAGGTATGTTTTCCGGGCTTTTAAGCCGTGGTCTATGGGAATTTCTTCCTGACGTTTCGTCCACAACTGCGGTGGACATTATTAAAGGCGATGAGGCAGTGGGCGAAGTGATCTCCCGTGCTTGCCGACTAAGACTTAGACTCAGTCTTAGTCGGTATCACTGCCAATGCTACTATTGCGAGTTGCATGTAGTGTTTGCGAAACGTCAGGATTAAATTATTTTCCACCACGACCTAGAAACCCGAAAAACTCATCAGTTTCAGGCAAAACACTTAAAGGCCGACTCTTCAAATATCTTCTTGGACTGCGCAGCTTCTTCAATATGTTCCAAATAAACCTACAGTTGAAATGGAGGAAAAACTATCAACAGTTTCAAAAATTAAAATTCCTTGCATAAATCGATATAATCATATATATTCTAAAAAGTCGTAAAAGATAACAATTACAAATCGCCCAAAATAAGGTGAAAATTGTGAAATATTGCTCAAAAGTCGCTTGGCGACATTCTCAAAATGTCCGTCGCAAAACTCCCCAATTTGCGATAAATCGCCCAATCTGGTCACACTGTTTGGAACGGTAAAGATTTTTGCAAAAAAATGTACAATTGCTCTTCTGCTTGATGATGGAGAATATAGAAACAGTCCAAAAAAATAGGATGGCAAATACTGTACGATGAAACCTATTCCATCATGGATATTTTGGAATTAATGGGATTCACTACATTGCCTACACAATTTGTCTAAATCAATTTCAAATCGCAGTAAATAAAAATAAAATAAGTTTGTCAAACGACGATTGGAAAACAACTAATCTGATACTTTATTCATATTATCCGATTCGATCCGGCATGGCAAATACTGTATCCGAAAATACTGAACGGTATAGGTGTCTGATACGATACGCTCCCGATAGTGTGAATTGTTCATATTTCAAACCATTAAATAATATTTTTCGCAAACTAAAGCGTACGTGCCTGAAACAATACGTGCATGATAAACCTTAACTTTTTTACAAACTTCTTTTTGGGTATTTCGCCTCAAAAATTGTTGACTTTAAAAAAGACAGAATTTCCTCACGTCTTTTATTATTATTATATTAGATTGATATAATTATTTACTATTACATTAGATTGATAAATAGTGCTCCTATTTCGCAATAAGAACGAATTATTTATCAAAAAGTAATCAAGAACTATCACCTAGAGGGTATCCTGCGACACAC